TTCTTTTTTTTTTTTTTAATTAACGGAGAAAGAAAGCTTGTTTAACTAAGCTTGGCGTCGAGTCTGGCGGAAATTGATTCTACGGGCTAATTGCACTCGGCAGATCTCCGCCTCGTATGTAGAGCGGTCCAAAACGACGCAGGGAGAAATAACGCCGTTGAACCGGTCGGAAGAGCGGCGGAACGCTGGAATGGCGGAGCGGAGCGGAGCGGACGAGATGCAACAAAAGGCACGTTGGGGGCCACGTTGGGTCGGGCTCTGGAATGGAACTGGAAACGAAAGGCCTGCGGAGGCAAGGGCGGGGAGCGCTCGTGGATGCCAGGCCGCATGGTATACGTGTGTATGCGTCGAGTGCAAGTAAGGTGACGGTACACGCCGGAGCGGCCGGAGGAGTCGGTCAGTCAGTCACTCAGTCGCACTCGCAGTCGGCGAGTCGCTCTCGGCTGCGCGGCGCGATCGCGTGGGCGTCTCTTTGCTTCTTCTCTCCTTTTCCTCCCTTTTGTTTCTCTTTTACTTTCTTATCCCATATTCTGTGCTGGTGTTTCAACTTGGTAACGAGCGAGAGAGAGAGAGAGAGAGAGAGAGATACTCAACTCCGGGAGGGCTCCGTCTCTCCGTCTTTCACCAGCGGAATTATTTTGCTGTCCAAGCGGAATGGTGGGTGACCGCTGAGAGAAAAGTAAGAACCTTTTGTTTATTTTATTAATTAAAAAAAAATACATTATAAGAAGGGGGAGGGAGCGGGGAGGGGGGGCCCTGCAAGACCGTTTGAGGAGTTTGGAGTTGACTCTTGGTATTCCTGCAAGATCCGCTTTGTACGTGAAGTCGTGTATTTAATAAGATCAGGCCTTAATTCGTGTATGGAATTAACTTGCTCCACTGCGCTGTATATACCGGTAATTGTATGTGAGAAACATAATTCATTCGTGTTCGTAAAGTGGATTTCAGATAGATTTCTCGGCGGGAAATTCATTGCTCGTATCACTTCCTTTTCTTTTTTTCTTTTTCGTTGAGTAGACGCTGGTGTGATCCAGAACAAATATGAGATAAGCACGTTCATGACGCATGTAGAAATTGTAACTTGAATTCCATTGGAATGCTTCTTGCCGGTGATAATTCTTATTCAAAATTGTTATTTCTGTAAGTACACGTGCATGCTAACGCGAGGGGAGAATGTGAAAGAAAAATCTTCTAATGGATATCAACGGAAAAATATTTTTACAGTTAAATATTTTTTTTTTTTTTAATTTTAAACAATTTCAAAATAAATTCTGAAATATTCTGTACTTTACAAATGGTGGGGAGACGTGTATAATACATGTATATATAATTATACCAGATTGGAAATATGTTTACCCGAGTTTATTTGTGTGCTTGGGACTAAGAAGTCGGATAAGAGACTTCTAGGAAATACATAGCTCTAAATAAATCACTGACAAATGGAAAAAAAAAATTGTAAAAATAATTAATATTAACAGCAGTTAAAATTTACCTTATAAGAAGAGGAGCTTAAAATCTGTGAACTGAAAATTTATCTTTTATGTTGAAATTTATAAAATATGAAACTAGAAATGTATCCATTATCGCGCGCACTCGTGAGATTAACTCGATAAGATGTGTAATATCACACGTTTGGCTTAACACACGTTTCTCAGTACGATATACAGTTAACTGCATGTGCAAAACTTTTATCGGAGACCGGTGTACAGTAAATTGTACATGTGTATGCTTAATGGTCATCTGAATATTCTTAGATTTCGTTAGATTTGCGTATGAATGTGCAAACGCGCGATAAAAAAGTGTATCAAAGAAATCTTTGAGCGCCTTCTCTTAATTCTATTCGATCATTCTTGGAACTCTGTGTTCGGTAACGGTTTTTTTTTAATTCACATTCAGAAATCGAATCCTGTTAAGACAGACAGAATTATCTTTCTTATTTTTTTTTTTACCTACACAGAATTTCCGTGCGAAATTAATTTATAAAAAAATCCACCGACAGAACGTTTGCATTTAGATGCTCTAATTTTGCTTTTACAGTCTAATATATGAATTAATTTAAATTCGATCTTTTTAGCACCTAGATTTCACTTCGCTTTCCGATTTTCCGTTGATTTTCGCAAACACATTTTTTCACGACACACACTCACACTTCTTTACGTACTGTCCCCTCGTTATGATAAAATGCCCGGTTAATGTAACGTCCCGTGATAAAACTTGCAACTTCTACTTTCGAACGGACCGCGTTGTCGCACGTGATACTTTGTACGCACGTGCGCCTGGATTTACGCACGAATAAATCCTTAAATCGCTCTTGCGTTTAATGCTACGTTTTGCACCGCTACCGCGTCATTGTCTCTTACGATACGTCACGTGCGAA